TCCCTGGTACCGAGGTCAGGCTGACAGGCCTGTAGTTCCCTGGATCCTCCCTCTGACCCTTCTTGTAAATGGGCGTCACACTGGCAAGCCTCCAGTCTTCTGGGACCTCCCCTGTTGACCAGGATTGCTGATAAATGATGGAGAGTGGCTTGGCAAGGACCTCTGCCAGTTCCCTCAGTACTCTTGGATGGATCCCATCTGGTCCCATAGATTTGTGAGTGTCCAGGCGGCGCAGCAGGTCATTAACTATTTCCTCCTGGATTATGGGGGGTATTTTCTGCTCTTCATCCCTGTCTTCCAGCTCAGGGGGCTGAGTACCCTGAGAACTACTGGTCTCACTATTAAAGACTGAGGCAAAGAAGGCATTAAGTACCTCAGCCTTTTCCTCATCTTTGGTGGCAATGTTCCCCTCTGCATCCAATAAAGGATAGATACTCTCCTTGGCTCTCTTTTTATTGTTAACATGTTTAGAAAAACATTTTTTGTTGTCTCTTATGACAGTGGCCAGATTGTGTTCTAGCTGAGCTTTTGCCTTTCTAATTTTCTCTCTGTATGACCTAACAAGATCCCTGTACTCTTCCTGAGTTGCCTGCCCTGCAGAACATTCAGCTTTTCAAGATTAACCCTGAAACTTCAGTAAGCAAGAAGGCCTGTTCATTAGATCATACATGGCATCTAAACCAAAATTTTTGATATACACTTAAAACTTGATTTATCTGCTGTTAAGGAAGATGGTGACATTCTCACAAATTAGGGAGTTGGGCAGGATGGGGGAAAGACATATTAATAAATATGTAACTGAGAAATGGAGTGCAGAGATATTAGTGCCAAGCCCATTGTAAGCAAAAATTATTAAGCCTGGATAGAGCCGAGCTGATTCTAGCAGAACAGCCCTCGGTATTTCTGCAGTTTTGGGCTCCCTCATGATTTAGCAGTTCAGCTGTACTTGGATACATTATGGCTTCAGTCATACAAATGATCCTATACTTGCACTAATAAATTGTCTTGGAACTTCATGTTCTGCAAAAAGCAGTGCAGAGACATCTTTGCTGGACTTGCACTTAGCCAGTATGGGTTTGGTAAAGCTTACAGCCTGTATCATGAGACTAACATATTGGTGCTATTCTGGCAAGGAAATAATTTGATTGCAATATTATTGCAAATACTAGTTTTTCATCCATAGTGCCTCTGAAAACAGAAAGGTCAGCAGCAGTCATTTTATTTTTCTGGCATTTCTGAGGAATTTTCAATACAAGAGACAAAGCATGAGAGAAATGAAGAAGAAGTTCCTATATTTTTGGCTTTGCCAGTTTCTTAGTATTTGAACATCCTTAAGTGAAAATGTTTATGTACAGTGATTCCATGCTTCATATAATAAGATTTTTCCATTTCCACTGACAATAGTTAACAGAGTCAACAATATACAGTGCCAGTTAAACCCAAGAGATTACAATTCAAGGACTTTGATGCTAAAGTCAAGTTAAAAGTACAAGCAACACATAGAAGAAATATAAACAGATTTTGCACTTAGAACATCAGGAAGTTTATTTCCTACATGTACTTGTTTCACACACACGAAGGTTAAATCAGTTAACCTTCAATTTAATTTCAAAATTAAACATTCACAGTATCTAAAGAATCAAACAGAAGCTTCCACTCCCAAAGAAACAACAAACATTTTGAAAAATAGATATGAAATTACTGCTGAAGTAATTTCCAAAGGAGTTCCAAACACTGCATAAAGTACAGAATCAAGGAAAGCTACATGGCTGACTAATTATCCATTCTTGCAGATGGGGAAAAATACACACAGTTTTGAAAATAAAAGCTGCTCTTGATATGCAGAGATGATTACTCCTGTGGAATAAGATAGGAAAACATCAAACTGGCACCGACAAGTAACACAGCGCACTAACTTGGACTGAGAGATCTCACTTATTTTTCGTCAGTCTACAAGTTAGTAATGATTTTGCATGTAAGAGCTTGCAACGCATCAAACACTGGGGCTGGTACATTCTGTTACGTCACAAAATTTGATTTACAGAAGAAATTTCCTCTCAAAAATAAGTGATACACTTTTCTACTTCAGTAACTGGCACTATAGTTACTTTCCTTCATTGTACATTTACTATGTTGTCCTCCTAGCAAAACTGTGCTAGTTTGTATGTCAACTACAAGGTATACAAGCAGAACATTTTTACTAGAAGTACACCATTACTTTCACCCTGAGACAACCCAGGAAGGCAGGCAACAGAAGAAAGGAAATCAAGGTACTTGAAATCAGTAACATGCAAAAATCTGCCTTAGAACGATTAGCATCAGAACCATTTGAATTAAGAGATCTATTCACTTAAGATAGGTGCCATCACAGTAGAGAGTTTGTAGAAATCAGGAACTGAACAGACCTTACCCTCTTTATTGTTAACACCACAGTGATGGCAACCATTAAAGCATATATACAGCTTCTCAGCTCTAATCAGAAGAGGAAATAGACAGTCAATCCACTGTTATGAGGGATAATTGTATTAAAGACAGATTAGAGAAAATAGGTGAGGAGCTGGTTGGGGGCGGGGGGGGAGTTTGTCTTGGGGGGGTCTTTTTAAGAAAAACACAACAGAAAAAAATATTTATTCTTCAAATTTCTAGTAATGTAAGGATGAGGATAGAGAAAGGAAAGGAGACCATATAAGATGACAAACTGCCAAATAACTAACCATCCATCTAGCATTGTCAGGGGGAGGGAGGAAAAACGCTTGTAAAGGTCATGCAGTTTTTACTAAAGAAATGTGGCAAGAATGCAAAGAATGCAAAATTCCACAAAAACTAAGTGTCAGAATACCTGAAGCAACATGATTCTTTAATCATAAGGGTGAACAGCTTCACGTCATTGTTGATGTGAAGTCACAGTCAAATGAAACAGACTACTAGCCATTGTCAAAACATACCTGTTACGCACTGCTTTGAAAATACAAAGACTTATTTCAATTACTAATATAGGATTTTACAAGTTTACAAAACCCGACTGAGGAAGATACCTGACTTACCTTTGGGAATATTTCATAAAGTTACAGAAGATCTAATTTCTACATGTAATTTTTACTTTTAACATCCTTTCCATTTGAGAGTAGCTATTCTTTTTGAATTTTCAGAACAGATGAGAGCAGAAACTTGAGACTGTTAACAGAATGGTTGCAACAGTGTGTTACCAAGTCATGTCAGCCGTTCAAGGGAGAACTGTGCCTTGGATCCAGCTCTATTTAATATACAGGAACAGCAAACCTTAACATGTTACACAAACATAAACTGGAAAAAATACATGAAGTTCATTCAGATATTGAAAATACAAAAGAAAAGCCAAACAAGTTTTATCCTAGCCTGGAAAGAACAGCATCATTAAAGGAAGTTACCACAGCAGTCACAGCTGCCAACAAAATCAAGCCAAGATGAAAAAAACACTGGCAGCACAGGCAAATTGAGTCCCTGGAAGGACGTAGACACATACTGATTTACAATAGCTGACTAGCTTTATGTTCTGGAAAGCTTTTTTTAACCACAACTCATAATTGTACATATAAAAATCTACACATACTATAGTAAAAATCAAGACTTACTAATGACTGCTCACATCTCACTGTCTAGTGGACATGCTTCCACACATACTGCAATATGCTTTTTAAATCTACATACATGGAAGAGCGCAACACAAAACTTTGTTACAAAACTACATACTTAGAATTCTTTTTAAAAAACTTGGCAATTTTGACAAGTATCCACTTTTATGCAATTTAAAAGACTATCACAAGCCTTGCGACCTTGTTTCAGCATTATGTCTTTAGTTTGTTTGTTGGTTTTTTTTCCTCTCAGATTCATCTTTAGGAGATATAGCAGATGAAAATTTTCAAGGCCAGGTCACCAAACAGAAAGAGATAGTTTTGGCTACAAGTTCAAATAACCAGTTACAAATGTAAAAGTTAGTCCAAAAAACTGTATCTAACTATATACTTCTCTCATGTACAGATACAGCATTGGCAGAATTTAAGATAGAAAACTGGATTCAGTGTTTAGAAAGGGGGAAAATCTGTGTTGGCATGAATGTATGTAATATACATGCTTTTTTGTCTTGGCAAGGGAGAAAGAGACTGCGTAAGAGCACCATTTAACTGTCTCATAGCAATTAAACTACCCATAAACAACAACTCCTAATTAGCCTAAGTTAGCCTAATTCCTAATGCTGAAGCCAACTACAACAAACACTAAAATACCAAGAAAACTTGGTATAAAATAACAAGGTACTAAGAAAGTGCATGTTAAAATTTAAGCCTCTTTTTTGGGGGGGGGAGAATTTATCATTACAAAATGTCACCGGATTTTAAAACAAAAACAAAACAAAAAAACCACTAAGAGCAGAAAACACCCATCTCCAAAGCCAACATCCATGTAACAGAGAAGTCATCCAAAAACAGCAAAAAGCATATTCAGGCAGAGAGTAACTCTGTATCAGGTTAAAATCCCATGCCCTTCATCCAAGCACCATTTCACTTTTACAAAATAACATCGACAAAACACAAAAGTATATAAGAAATGTAACTGTTGTAAAAGTATTTAAGGCTCCTTTAATATGCTCCTTTAGTTATCTTAAGAGAGGAAATCTATTTTAACTCACTGCAGTATCCAAGACTTCTTGCATTAGCAAATAAAACCAAAGAATGACTCTTACAGCTGTGGGAAGAATTCATGCTTCCCCTCATTTCCAAGATACCTCGCCTATATAGTGTTTAATATAATGTAGACATTTCCTAAATCCTTCACTCTGACTTATAAATTCTAACTAGTTAGTAAAAAGTAGGAGCAGTTTTCAAACTGTCTAAAGACTCCTATTTGAGTAATCCATGCAATAGTTAACTAACCCAACAATTAATGGGATATCAAGTCAAAATAAAGAAAAAAAGACTGACAACAAGATTTTTCATAGATATTGTGGTCTTCCACATTAATAAAGTATAACATAAGTGATAACTGGTGCAAAAGGGACTCAAGTAAAATCACCAAATAGAAGACTAAATATTGTGATTCCATTTGTATACGTATTTTATTGTCACAACATATTTAAGGAATGGTACATCTTTTAAAAATAGGTATTATACATTGCAGCAGTACCTGCTTGAAAATAGACCACTGAATTTTGCTTCTTTTAAAAACATGTTGCTCAAGTGTTCTAGCGTTCCCCTGTTCTCTTCCAAAGCAGGATGGGGTTGGGAATTACAGCTGAATGCCAAGTTTTTAATTCTGGTGCTCTTAAAGACCCTTTTCTGTCATGCATTATGAAAAATGAAGCCAAAAAAATTAGAAAGCTGAGGAGGAAAAAATCTGGGCCAGTAGAAAAAACAGAACAGAGCTAGACAATGAATTTGGCAAGACTGGACCAAGGATGCAAAAGAAGGAAACAGAAACTGGTAGGGAGGCTGAAAAGAATGAACAACACGGAGGGAGACCAGATTTAGCTGGTCAAAATGGAGGGAAAGGGAGAGAAGAGGTAGGAATCAAGATTCTAAGAGCAGCTGGTAGACTGAAGAATAAAGGGCTAGTTGGGAAAAGCCTGAAACTGGACATGAAAAGAGGGAATTAGGACTTCGAGTAAGAAACAAGCACTAGCTTAACAAGGGGATTGAGAAAACAAGCCATAAAGGGAGATCACATAATCAGACTAAGTCAATCTACCAGTGGGTTGCTGTCAAAACAGACATTGTCAACATCAGCCCCACTCTGGCCACATATTTACTGCCTTAGATCTGCAACAAACACTGTGACATTGCAGGACAAGTCAAATAGAAAAAAATGAAATTGAAGGGGGGGGAAACAACACACAAGGTTGTGTTCCCCTCCGCCCCCCCTTACTTTTTCAACCAAATTACTACGTTGAACCTATTTGCCATGTGGTTTCAAGAGTATATACGCTGACACAAGGACAACAGATGGTATGTGCAAATAGAGGCTAAGGAGAAAGAACTGCTTGCTTTATTGACAGCAAAGCCTTAATTCATCTTATATCATTCTTGAAAACTTATGTTTACTTATGAATACTGGTGTAATGTGGAAAAGGACCAGGGTAGTGAAGAGACAGGGACAAGACCGCAGTGCTCAAGCCAGGATGAACTAAAGTCTGCCACTACTTCAACACATTCCTTTCCAGTATGACTATCAAGTTCCAAGACACTTCTGCTGTCAGAGAACACTCATGAAAAAAACAGGGTAATTCCCTCTTCTGAATTCTGCTTCTTGAGAGCAGTCAACTACTATTCTCAGTTATACCACTAGCTTTAGTAGATTTGTATGGAAATTCCAGAGCCTCTAAATGAAAAATTCAGCTTTCAGTATAGATTAATGAAGCCTGAGGTAACTCAATAGACCTTTCTTTTTACCCATCCATTTGCCTTCCCTCTCCCTCCCCAAGTCTAAAAAATAATATAAAACAAAAGAAATCACTTAAAGAACAGAATTAAGTCAACAACCCAATAATAATAGGTATGTTCTCAGAATAGTTTGCTAGCAGATTTCACAGTCGAATACCACAGACAAATAATTTGATCATTATTCATCCTGTGTACCACTAGAAGTTGATGTCCTCCAGAAAATAATTAAAAAGTAGCATTCAGTCATATACTTAAGCTTTAGTACGTACGTTTTCTTAAGTCATTGCACAAATACACTATTCCAGGTTTTTAAACTATATTCTATTGGTTTTAAAATATCAGTGAAAGAAATCCTGATGCAAAGAAGAGAAATGGAATGGTGAACAGAGATTTAAAAACAGGCAAGTACTGGAGAGGGGTTCTGGATGTACACTTTAGCCATTACTCACCCACATTGCACATCTGCAACTCACATACACATCTGAGTAACAGTCAACGTGTTGATAACATAAATTAAAATGCAATAGCTGAGATTACCTTGTTAAATCTTGCTCTGAACAAAACAATTTCAAACAGTTAAAACACATTGTAATCAAAAACTTGTTTCTGGTTAACATGAATTTGTAATGGTTCTTTCAGGCCTTAAAAATTATATGCATTTCATCGTCTCTCCAGAAGGATACAGACAAGGGATCAGAAATGTTTAGGTTGTACATTACCAAACAAAGAAACTGACTACCAGCAATTTACATAAAAACTCAGTATTGCATTTAGCATCGGATATCCCATACAATAACTTTCCTTAAACAAACAACTCCACCTTACCTTGACACAAACTTGCTCATATCTGAATCTTCTCCAGATTCCATTATAATCCCGAGATCAGTAACAACAGCAGACACATTCTCTTTGTTCTAGATTGGAGAAGTAACAATGCAATATTTTAGAAATTTCTCTATCAAGGAGAAAAAAAATTATCTATTTGCATATAAAATAGACAAAAATATATGCAAATGCTGCTAAGTACTAAAATACTTAAAATAGCATTTTTTAAACTACAGCTTACATGCATGGACATTTTCTTTTATTTCAACAGTATCAGTATTATCCATACAACACCACTTTTAGAATAATACCTGAACTTGTCAGCATAGAGAATACATATGTATAAATACTTATAAATCAGAGGTTCCTCGTTACATCTGGAAACCATAATAGTGCTACCTACATTTAAAAAAAACAAAACCCACACCCTCCTTGTTTTGTTTTATTTTATAGCCTTTAGTTTTACCTCAAATTCTTGTCCCTTTTTACAATAAAAACTGTTAGTCAGGGATATGTGCATGATAATAAAATGTTTTCAAATTAAAATATCTAATAACATATTTAAAAAAAGAGAAAAGAAGTTCATATAGTAGAAATTAAGCCACAAAACTTAATTCCTTTGTATATGCATTCTTGAACACACCAGAGTAATAGGTTAGATAACAGTGAAAGAAAAAGCTTAAAGTCATGGCTTGAAGACACAGCAAATGCTTCATTTTATACTGAAGGCTTTGTACTTTATTTTTCTTATACCCAGTCACTACAAGCAAATGGGAATGGCAACACAGAGAAAACTAAACAGACAAGCTGGAGTCAAATGCAAGCATATCACACCAATACCTAGTACTGGTTGGACAGAAGTACTGTTAACACTGCCATCACTAAAGATGGAAAAAGCAAAGCAAGACACTACAAAGTTTAGTGAACTGAGTAAGTAACATCAGGAAAAATCATTCTAAATTTAGAGTAAAAGGTTCAACATGTGCATGGAGTTGTAGAGAAGCTGCTAGTAGTCACAAGCTAACATGCTACCTTCTAAAGAAAGTGATTTTCCAATTAGCGGGTTACTAACATTTGCCAAGGTGCCATCTTGGGGTCAAATAATAAGAGTTAAAAGGAAAGCTCTTGAGAAGAAAACAACTCTTATTTGGATGATTGCTTTCTCAAGAGGTTTAGACTTGTTTTGGCAGATTTTCAAGCTAATTGTGCATGTCCCCTCCTAACACCTGAGGACAGTAAGCGGGGAAAATAAATAAACAATACTTTTGCATTAACCTGTTTTCTTCATCCACAGTTTGACCTTTGTAAGCATCTACCTATGCACAATGGTGAACAGACGGGAGCATCTTTTCTTGCACTCAAAGCATGCAAAACACTAGTCAGCTTGGGAATATAAACTATATGCTAATCTAACACTGTGGCAAAACTAAAGAACCAGCTAACACATAGAATATGTCAGGCAGTGGGTGACCAATACTACAGTACTATAGACATAATCTCAACCATTCAAAGCCAGTCAGAGTGAAGTCAGATCTGCCTATCCTTCTTCATACAAATGTATCCTGGAATACAGTTTTTAACATGAATGACATTTAACAATTTGTTTTAAGATCAAATTAGAGATAATTACAAGAACAATTTGTTACTGAGTATTAACAGATTTGATTTAAGGTACTGTGGAGCTGAATTAACTGTATTGTAACTTACCTACTAGATTAAATAGCTAGAGTTAACGGTGTGTATTGGGTCTGGCTGAGATGGAGTTAATACTCCCCATAGCAGCCCTCATAGCACTGTGCTCTGCATCAGTAGCTAGAAAGGTGTTGATAGCATACCAGTGTTTTGGCTACTGCTGAGCAGTGCTGGCACAGCATCAAGGCTGTCTCCCCAACATTTTTGCCCTCCCCTCAATGGCAGGCTGGGGCGGGGCAAGATCTTGGGAGGGGATACAACCAGGACAGCTGACCTAAACTAACCAAACAGATATTCCATACCATATGACATCAGCTCAGATATAAAAGCTAAGTAAAGGGAGACGGAAGGGGGGGCATTTTGTCTTCCGGAGCAACCACTACGCGTACTGAAGCCCTGCTTCCCGAGAAGCGGCTAGACATCGCCTGCTGATGGGAAGTAGAGAATAACATCATTTGTTTTTTCTTTGCTTTCGCGCGCACGACCTTTGCTATCAATGTATTAAACTGTCCTTATCTTGACCCACGAGCCTTTTGTTATATTTTCTCCCCCCCTGTCCAGCTGAGGAGGGGGAGCGATAGAGCGGCTTTGGTGGGCACCTGGCATCCAACCAGAGTCAACCCACCACACGGTGTGAAAAAAATTATTCTTTATCTTCTGCTGCATACCAATGTGTTACCTGCTAAGCATTTCCCCCAAAAAACAGCTGTCGTCTTTTATTTCTCGAGATGGGTGAAACTAGTTGCAACTTTATACTATCTTGCCCATGCTAATCTCAGTACAGGTTATTTTGAATACAACCATTAATAATATATCTTAGAAAACAGGCTTCTCCATTTTTAAACACAAGAAGCCGAAGGCATAAAAAAGTTAAAGCTAAGTTTCCAGGTCTTAGTCTGGCCTGGTCACAACTTTCCCGAGAGCTATGGAGGCAGACTCCTGCATCCACAGAGGACCTACTGACTTCACTGCAGGATGACCTGCACAGTGTATGAAGTCTGTGGCGAAACCAAGATAACATGCCACTACTTTTACACCACACAAACAGTAACTAGAACTAGGTAAAATGTCTGAAGGGAATTGTTAACAACCTAATCATGTGATATGTTTTTTCATTACAAACAAATAGAAGAGAGCAATTTTTTAGCCATATAAATTATAAAACTGTATATCTTAAAAATACAATCCTTAAGCTTGAATTTTTGAACTACTAAAGTCTCTCAAAATCAAATAGACTTAAACAGTTCTACAAGATGGAAATACAGAACTGTACACAACAGTTGTACTTTACAACTCTAACCAAACCATTACATTATGATTTGTACAACAGCTAAAACATCTAAATAAATACAAAACCTTTAATAACATTCAAGTTCATATACAATCACAAAAACTGAGTAAAGGAACAGAAACTAGTCTGTGTTTGAAACAGTAAGTGTACTAAACCTGTATCTTATGGCACAATTAAAAACTGTACTCTTCATTGGTGTCTGCTTAACTAAATTACCATTTTCCACAACATGTCGACAACTCAATTGTTGGCAATTCAAAGTTTGTTAACTTAAGGTAAATCGATACATGATCTGGATTGCATATTAAATTGCAAGTTACAGGTGCCATGTACTTTTATTTAACAAAAAATAATTCATGCCAAAAATTAACACAAAATTATATTTTTTCAACTGAAGTTTTGTTTTGTTTTGTTTTTTTAAATAGATACACTTGGTATTCTACGTATCTCTTACTCCAGTGCATGTCATGCTGAAGTAGTACAAGTTTTAGGCACTACGTAGACAAGTGCTGCCATCTAGTGGTGCAATAGATTTAAGCATCACCAATACAGCTATAAATAAACTTAACATCCAGTTACTCATCTGAGCTCCATTGACACTAGAAGACGTCATCATTCTGCAGGAGCACACAGGTAAGAAATAAACATTAATCTAACCAAGTCGCATGATTGATGCAGGCTATTTCCATGCTCAAAGCTAAATGCAGTTTTATACAAACAAATGGTAAAATGATATCTCTAGGACCACAAGTTTCAAGTCATGCATGGACTTGAGTTGCAGAATAACCACATTCAGCTGAACTCCTGCAGTTTCAAATTATGCAATGCACATGTGAGTAATTAATATGGCTTTTCTTAAGATTAGGAAGGACATCTTTACATAGCAAGGCAGTTTTTAATACTGTCAGGTCCCATCACATGCAATTTAAAAAATACCTTTAAAGCTGAGCTGAAAATAAAGTTTTATTGAGAAGGAAATTTCCTGATGTCAAAAATAATATTACAAATTGGGGTACATTATTACAAATTGGGGTAGCAGCTGTTTTCCACTGCTTATCATTTTGAATTCTGTGCTAAGAATAGATTCTTATGAAAGAGGTTCCTTGCAAAAAAACTGTACTCATTAGTGTAACTTCTGTGCAGTCTTGTGATGTAATAGCTAGGCACACTAGCCAAGCGAATAGAAATATAACTAAAGCAAAAAACAAACAAACAAAAAAACCAAACCACACCACAATTGTTCAAGTTTGTAGTAGTTTAGCTTTTCCTCAGTTTCCTCAAGAGAGGTAAAGTTTGGAATTTTCCAGTCACCAGAACAAGATATGACTGTAGGGGGACATGTTGTGGGGGAGCTCAGAGACGGCTGTGGGATGAAAGCCACATTGGCTCAGGGTGAGGCCCCAGCAGGTACTTGGCAGTGTCAGTGGAAATCTAGTGCTGTTCAGGGCTTTACTTCAGTGTTAGTCTGCGAGAGCATCCTGCAGCGTGCATGTTTTAGGAAGAAAAGGTGATAAGGACTTGGCAGTGTTAGGTTAAGGGTTGGACTCAATGATCTTAAAGTCTTTTCCAACCTAAATGATTCTATGATAAGAATTTTGTGACTGAATGTTGAACCTGACCTTCAGAACTATTTTACTTGGATGTGCATGGAATTCAAAAGTTGAGTCCAGCTGCTATACAGTGAAAACAACCCACTGAGGCTTAGATTAAGGAGACTCAAGGAATCAAAATGACAAAATGCCAGTTGAAGGTTTCAGCTGGAAAAGCAAGTATTGACATTTGTCCATTTGAAGTTTTGTTTGTTTTTTTGGTTGTTGTGGGGTTTTTTGTTTTGTTTTTTTTTTTTTTTTAAACGTACATTGATCCTTACCTGCATTTCAAGCAGCTGGAATTCCAACTGAAAAGACAGGGAATAGCAATTCCCTGATAATCTGTGCTTCCGCACTGTTCTGTTTGTAGCTGTTATAAAACAAAGTTAACAAAATCCTTGATTATAAATCTATTCAACAATTATTGCACTTCTTCCATTAGTCATATTTAAAGTACCAATTGATACCATCCATCATATAAATAAAGAAGTCAAGTTAAACATGATTAAAAAAAAAAAGCAAACAACATTGCTCACGGTAGTCTTTCCCTTTCCCATTATGCAAAGTACTACATTTACTCAGAAACTATTTTATCAACAAAGTTCTATTGTATTTCAAAATAATTGTCTTTCTGCTAACATTGAAAGTAGAATTACAACATGCATTTGCAAACGTAATGAACTGAAACAGTATGCTCAGTATAGCACCAGTAAAGGGCACAAAAATGCTTACTTTTTTCCACTATTTCCTTGAAATGGCTTGTGAACTGAATACCAGTAAATTTCTTTAAAAATGAGAGATCTGTTTCTAGGCTTTCAAGTTGAGTTATCAGGTCTGATAAAGATTCATGTCCCTCAGATTCTCTTTGGAATGATTTTCTAGAGTTGGAAAAGAAAAAAAAAATATAAAATCAAAATGGCAAAAGACCCAGATATAAGGACACATTTTGTCACATCAGTACAGCAATACCATTAAAGGCATTTGTAACTTCATCTGATGGTTTTCAGACCAAGATCAGTTTTCAATGAGTCAAATTTCAGTTGGATCATATTACTAGGAACAGTAAACTATTCTAACTTACATAAACACTTTATGTTCACTGCCAGGTTGTGCTGGTTTTAGCTGGGGTAGAGTTAATTTTCTTCACAGCAGCTAGCATGGGGCTATGTTTTGGATTTGTGGTGAAAACAGTGTTGATAACACAGGGATGTTTTTGTTACTGCTGAGCAGTGCTTACACAGAGTCAAGGCCTTTTCTGCTTCTCACCCCACCCCACCAGTGAGTAGGCGGGGGGGGGGCACAAGAATTTGGGAGGGGACACAGCCAGGACAGCTGACCCCAACTGACCAAAGGGATATCCCATACCACAAGATGTCATGCTCAGCATATAAAGCTGGAGGAAGAGGGGACATTCAGAGCGATGCTGTTTGTCTTCCCAAGTAACCATTATGCATGATAGAGCCCTGCTTTCCTGGAGATAGCTGAACTCCTGCCTGCCAATGGGAAGTGGTGAATTAATTCCTTGTTTTGCTTTGCTTGCATAAGTGGCTTTTGCTTTACCTATTAAACTGTCTTTATCTCAACCCATGAGTTTTCTCACTTTTACCCTCTTGATTCTGTTCCCCATCCCACTGTGGGGCAGCAGGGGAGCAAGCAAGCAGCTGCATGGTGCTTGGTTGCCAGCTGGGGTTAAACCATGACACTGGTAGACACAGCCTTTATTATAAGTCTTGAGACGCAAGTATCCATTTCGAGGAGTGTACAATAAAAATGATGTGATGCCTTTACTCATCTAAATTACATATCTACTATAGAATATCAGTTAAATAATGCAAATAAAAAGGCCTAACATGGCATTCTTTAGCATATAACTAGTCACACCTGTACATGTACCTAATCCCCATCTTTTACTTAAGAAAAAAAAAAGTGCACCAAGCTGTTTCACAGTGCATAATGGAAAACATGGCCTTTACAGTCAACAACTTTGCAGGGCCCACACAGTAACGTACCCAATATCATGCTCTGACCCCTATGACTGCCTTAAAAAACAAAAAGCAAACAAACAACACAAAATCCTAAAAACACACAAATTGCCAACAGAAGGCAGTAAAAAAAGATCAACTGCTTATTATTTGTAATCTTTTACCATATATAGCCCATGTCCTAAGCAAGATCAACACTGTAATAATAACATAAGGAAAGTCCTAAGAGAGCCAAAAACTTATCCTAAGCAATTTTGACAGAGAAACAGCATTAATCCAACATGTGAAAAGAAGCATACATTGACATTAATATCTCCTCATCAGAAAAAAAGGTGGATTCTTGTTGGCTATCTTCATACTTTTCAGCCAATAGTTTAATTTCTTCTTCCAGTGACTGGATTTCATCTTCATAAACTTGACAAATGCTGTTATCCATTTCTCAGAATCAATGTTACTAGATAAAACAAAATAAGTATATTTCTTAGGCAAAAAAAATCCATTTTCAAAATAACTTATTTTTATCCAAGGAATTAATTTAAGAAATGCAAATATAACATTAGGCAATTGTTTCTCCTATGCCTCTACTTAAAATGAGACAGTTCTATTTATTTTATAACTTTTGAAAAATGAATTGGTACATACAATTTTTAAATAGCCCAGGTAGCTTTGACAAGTATAAATTTATACCTCCGTAAAGAATTCTAGTGTCAAACAATCCTGTTTGCTATGGACGATTAAACTAACATATAAACCTTGATCCTCGGCAAACAAATTTGACAGGAATTCTGTCACCAACTCAAAAACAGAATTAGGCTTGCAGTAAAACTCTACTCTTAATATTATAGTACTCTGTCACATTCTTGCTGATATCTAGTAGCTTCCTGTATTCCCTGGAAGTAGAATCTTCCCAGTTCATGATGCTTTTAGCAGGGTGAGTTACCATGTTTCTTACAAAGCTTTGTTACATTCAGAATTACAGAAAAAGTGGCTTTTCTGCTCTTGTAATGCCTACTTGCAGACCAGTGCCTTTTTAAGGGGACTTTCTAGGGTTTAAGTAGGAGTTACATAGATGACAAAGAACAAATTTCTGACTCCACATGAAAGAAAAAAGTTTTCTCCAAAATAGATAACAATTTTGAAAAGAAATGTAGTTTTGTTGCATTAGTTCTTCAAAGACTTAATTCATTGAGTCCAAATGTAATTATTAAATCAATTTTAAGACACAGCTCACTGCGTAGTCTCCAAATACAGAAGTTAAATCAGGAATCTAATGTAGTCAAAGGCTTTCTGTAAGAAACTTTTTAATTAATCATGATTTCATCCAGGACCATATCCAGCTGTTTTACATTTGCTGTAATAGAACAGCAAGCTGTTCTGCAGATAGAAAGCAATCCTAATCAGATACAGAAACTGAATCCAGCTTTGACCAATTCACCTAACAATCCACCTGATTAAATGAAGCACAGCTGTTCCTACTAACACTATAGCATAATCTGCCTTTCAAGTAAACAACAGTAAAGAGACACAAGGAAACAAACATATTTAACAAAAATAAACACCAATTTTAAGAAAAAAAAATCTGACATTCAGCCTAGACATGTCACATGACTGTGCAGCTCAATACCAATGTATTAATACTTTCAACCAGGGAAAAAAGAAATGAATCTAGTTTTATGCGTGTTTTTAAACAACCCCTACTGTGTTTGCAAGATCCATGCTAACATGGTTCAATAAAAAGGGATGAGGAGAAAATAGGTTTTTGTTTGTTTATTTCATAAGAAACAGCATCTGAATAGCATACATAATAAAACAAACAACATTCAAAACATGCTTTACATTAAAAACTTATTTAGTGAATAAAGAAAGTATATGGAATTGAAGAATCACTGAGATTGTGCCTAGTCATGAGTTCCTCTGAAATTTTAAAGCAATCTTATGCAAGGTATGACAAAAAACAAGATCAGTAGGTACGAGAAATAGAAATTCTCCAACTTTTAAAGTATTCTATTAGGTTTATTGGTTTTTTTTGTTTTTGGTTTTTTTTTTTTTAACTGGCTACACTGAAGAAAGTTTCGGTCATAATAAAGAGCAGATTCCGAAAAAGAAAAAACATTACAATAGCCAGAACTTTACCCCAGGTTGTTAGCTAATTCCTCTTTCAACAGCTGGCTGTTTTGAAAACAGTAACAACATATATACTGCTTTTTTAACTCAAGTGATTTTACTAGACTGCAGAAGACTCAAAGACTAATTATAACTTCAAAGAGCATTATCTCCAGAAAAAGAGATATTTCGTACATACTTTTAATTAAATAAAACATAAATTTAACGACAAACAATCAGTTATTTCTCCTCACCCTCAGCGTACACGCACATATTTGTGCATTAACGGTAAGTATTTCACGTTTCTACGTACCTGCCCATACACACCGCTAAGCATTCGCTTCTAAGCTGCCACAGGAAGGGCTGCGAAGAGCATTCAAGAGTTTGCGAGAAACGAAGTAGCAGGGTTCCGTATTCCCGTTGCTTTGCTCCTAGCCTCCAATCTCACAAGCCAACGGCTGGAAAACACGACTCGTCAGACGAGCCGGCACTGTCCCACACCGCCCCAAGACACGGGCCAAGGCTCACAGGTGCCAGGCGTCGGCCCGGCGGCACAACGCACGCCCGAGGAGAGGAGAGGAGCCCGAGCCGCGCTCGCCCCCAGAGCTCGGGGTCCCCGCAGCCCCGACACCCCACAGACCGGCGCTGAGGAGAGACGCTCGCTCGCTCACTCACTCACTCCCGCCCACCAACGGCTGCCGCGCGTGAGCCCCCAGCCCGCGCCTTCGAACTGCGCGCCCAACCAGCTCGCGGCGGGCCTGGGCGCTACCACAGCTGCAGCCCGAGCAGGGGGCGCCAGCCGCGCCTTCGGCGTCCGTCCGTCTCCCCCCCCCCCGCGAAACAACAGAGCCGCTTGAAGGGCGGATCCCGAGGTTAATTATTCGAGACGGATAGCAAAAGCGTTACTTCGTTAGCTAACGCCTTGGTTTTCGCTTATGTCTTGCGGAATATCCCCCTACCTTCCTGAAGGGTTAATTACGCCCAAACCTTCCACGAGTCACAAGACCCAAGCGGTGTGTTCCCATCACACCTGACCGGCCGGAAACAGGACCCCGACAGAAGCGAGGAGACAATCAGAATCCGACGGGCCGCAGGAGGCGGAACCCTTTTTTTCCGAGTGAGCGCTAGGAGGGGATGCGAGGGGGAAGATAAATTGCGTTGCGCTACGAGGATCGCACATGGCGGCGGTGAGGGGTGGTCGCCGCGTTCCTGTGGGGGTGGCGGTTCCCGGGGGCTCCTGGCCTCTCCTAGGAGGGGGGAGATGGGGCTGAGGGCGACTCGTGGCGTCCCGTTCCCCCCCCCCTCCAGTTTAGAAAGTCCTTAAAAGGTCATATCGCTGAGACCCGTTTACACTTACTGTCATGTACCCACTTATATGCTTCAAGGTTTTTTAAAAAAACCCAACAACCCAACACCTAAACGCTGGTTGCTTGCAGTAATGCAGTTCTTACTGGCGCTGGGCTGGAGCAGAGCGTGTAACCTCGTGCAAAGCGAAGGGGTTCTTTATGGAGGGTTTCCGATAGAAGGATTTGTTCTGTAATTTGGTGTTAGGATTGCATCAATCCCTGCGATGTAAGTGTTAGTGAACTATTGTTATCTTCTTGCAGAAAAACTGAGTGTGCGTTACAGGTGTGACAGCTTGACTTTTCAGCATGGAGAAGAAACAAGTTTCGAAACGCTTGTATGTTGGAGGGCTCGGCCACACGGTTTCAAAGGCTGAACTGCAAGAAAGATTTGGCAAGTTTGGGCATGTTTTGGATGCAGAGATTATTACCAGGAAAGATGATCAGGGTAACAGTTTTGCATCATCCTTTAAAAGTGAATTGTTTTTCAGTTTGTAGTGTGAAATGGAATTTTTGCTTCAGAGACACTTTATTTTCAGGAAATAGCTTAATTTTCAGTTTTAAAGGAAACATGGAAACTATATAGAAATTAACTGAATGTTTATCATTGATCAGGGAACCCTATGAAAACGTTTGCTTACATCAACGTCAGCATTTCTGATGCAGATCTTAAAAAGTGTAAGTACTGGGTTTTTTTTTTTAATAATTTATGGTTTTGAGCCAAGTTGCATTACTGATAATGCATCTAATGTTGTCAAATCAGGATGTGGTCAGGGTAGACCCTGTTTCATTCTGTCATCATATTCATTCCATTTTCTTTAAGCTGCAATTTTATGGAAGTTGCTTTACTGGAGTTTTCAGTAAGTAGATGTAAGCAGATTAAAAAGATTCCCTGTGACTGAAATAGCTGATTTATAAGTTCATTCTAACCCTTTTAGGAAAGGGTATAGGAAACATGCTTCAAATGCTTTCACCAGGTCCATAAAACATTAGAAGTGACTTGACGTGAGAGGAAACCCAGGAGGGCTTACATAAAGCATGCTTTTGTTAAAGCAATTTAACAAATCCCAAAATAGTTGAACTGCAGAACTACTGGCAGGCTTATAAAGCCACCTGTGTAATATGTAGCAGGAGAATGGCAGGTGAAGATACCTATACCCGAAGAGAGGGATTGGTAATATGCCCTTTTATTTAGGGAGTGCTGCCACTAGGAATAGGAAAGCTGTTTGAGAGTGACTAAAAGCTAACCCAGCCCTTGATACTTAACTTCCTTAAGTTCTAGTACAACACTTTTCTCTTTAGGTTTCAGTACTCCTTAGCTATGTTTTTCAAAGTACAGAAGTAGTTAAGTGGAGAAGAGCCTATCTGACAGTAGTATAGAAACTTCAGGGTATGTGTAGCTGTATTTTCAGGTTTGTATTTGAACTGAACCATACAGGCTTCAATGACTCTTTTGAAGTCAGAACTTTAATCTTGAATGTACACCTTCTTGTGTAAGAGTAGGGTATTAGACCTTTCATATACAAACTTAAATCAGGTGAGTAATGGAGTATAAAATCGTGCTAAAGAAACTTCAGACTGTCATAGAAGGAGGCATAGTTAAGTCTAAAGTATATTTTTTTAATGTAGAAAATATTAATTTCCTATCTATTTGTTTTACAGGCATGTCAATTTTAAATAAAACAAAATGGAAAGGGGGGACACTGCAAATTGAGTTGGCCAAAGAAAGCTTTTTGCACAGGTAAAAATCAATTTTTAAAAATGTATGTTGTTGCTAAAGTTACCCTTTTTCTGTTTATCTGATAATATTATGGCTGTGCTTTCATCTGCTATGCACTTACTCTTTCTATTTTTTATTGACATTGGTGGACTCTTGATGCATATTAGATACTACAACATGTTTTGCATCATTATTCCCTTGAAGGTAACAGATTTGTTAATTCCTTGAGTAGTGAATGGTTACTGTTCTGTGGGAGAGGGTCACTGCCAGCTGTAATTTAGCACACAGGCAGACCTTTTTTCATATATGATATGCTTTTTGGTACAGGCTCGCCATGGAGAGGGAGGAGGCAAAGCTGCAGAAAGAAAAGCCACAGAGAAACGACAAAGCGTGTCTGTTAGAATCACTGAAAAAGGCTGGAGTTGTAGACTTTCACATGAAAGCAGTACCAGGTACAGAGGTGCCAGGCCATAAGGTATGGTGGGATAGATATATAGAGAATTAAAACAAAAACCAGAATTGGGCCCAAGCTTATTACATCTAAATTTATGTCAAATCTCTACGCTTTATGTAAAGAGTCTTTTATTAAGTGTGACAGTCCAATTTGTGAGATGTAGTCTAAAGAAATACCTTATGTGTAGACATATAGAATGCTCCTGTAGTTCTTTGTAATGACTGGCAATAATCTTGATCATACTGTCCTCTCTTGTCCTGTTAAGTTGGTAAATGCTTTTTTACTCATTGATGTTGGGAATATCTTCATGTCAACCTTAAAAGCATGTAAAGAGAATGTGTGTCTTATTTTTATACAGCATATACTTTTTTGATGGCTGGGTTGTCGGGAACTGATCTCTGTGCTTCAGCACATTCAGGATCAGGGTCTACACATGCTTACAAAAGTAAGGCTTAGAATAAAATCACTGAACATGCAAATTTACGCAAGAAAAATTGTACTTACTACAAAGTTTTCAAAATTATTTGCTAAGCACAGAATGTTTTTGGAGGGTGATGCGGGGATTTTAATTTTTTAGCAGGAAGGGGGAAAAGGGCAAAATAATAGTGATCCTGTCTGTATATTTACCACTGTTAAATCATAAACAAGAAGCCTTATACTAAAAATAGTACTTGTAAAGAAATTCATTTCTTTATTGTCATTCTTTATTTGCACATTGTAGAAGTTTGGTTTTTTGGCTGGTTGGTTTTGGTTTGTTTTTTTTTTTTTTTTTTTTGAGAAGGAAGCTGGATAAGTTGTACAGTACAAATATATCTCACTTAAGAGAGTAAACAAAAAAAGAATTAGTCACAGTTGGTTCTTTATTAGTGTTTCTGTTATCCAAGAATATACATCTTGTTTTATTCCAGGATTACTTCCATTCCTTTTTTTGTTTAACACTGATTATTTTTCTTTTCTTTTAGAAATGGGTTGTTGGGAAATTTGGCAGAGTCTTGCCTATCCTGCACCTCAGGAATCAACAAAAAAATAAAATATCCTTTTCCTATAGGCTGGCCATAGGCACAATTCCCTCTTTCTTTCGTCATATGGGGAAACATTTGCTTGACACTTTTAATATCGACTACTGTGTCATATTTGATTTACTGAATCACCGAAGTAAATCTTGCAGTAAGTTTGTGTGATTTGAATAAATTTTTAGACTGCAGGTCAGTTGCCTAAAGGCTTATGGTCATAACATTAAAAAGGACCCTCTGTTGTCCTTTCACACAGAATTTAGCCTGTTCATAAAGACTGGAAGTCTGCTTGCTAAAAGAATCATGTTGTTTTAATTCCTTAACTGAGACTAACGTTGTGAAATATGACCCATCAAAATACTGCCATAACCTCAGAAAGCTGGAGCCAGACTTGACACATGTAGTTCCTATATCCGAGCTTACTTGGCACTTGGAAGGGGGAGATGATACCATAAACAAGAAGCGGCAAGGAGAGTTCCCTTTAACTAAGAAGCCACCTAAAAAACTGAAGCAACTGAGCAGTGAGGCTTTGAATGGAGCAGTAGTTCGCTCTTCTGGGTGCCAGTCACATTCAAAAACCACATGCTTACCACAGCTAGATCAAAGATCAAAATCCAAACCCAATGAGAAGTCTAAATTGCATTCATCAAGGACTCTGAAGAGTAAAATACCAGGGAGAGGTTTATTATCAGATAAATGCAATGTTTCTGGAGTTACAGCTCAAAATAATACGAGTGTTTCTGATAGTGACATTGATTCTGAAGAGGAAATCAGAGCAATGGTAGAGAGAGAAACAGAGAAAGCTGAAAATGTTGAGACTGAAAATGACCACTTGGAAATTGTTGGGGATAATTTTGAATTAAAATACAATAGTCACTGGTTGTTAAGCAATCCAGATGCCACGAAGAAAGCCATCAAAGGAAGTTACAGAGAGAAAGAGACTATGCAATGTGATAATGGCTATGATTCAGCAGATACAGATGAAATTATTGCTGAAAGTAAAACTCCAGATCTAAGTAGCAGGAAAACTGCAGTTTTAGAAGATTCTAAACAGGTGGCGGCGGAAAATAAAGAAATATTAACAAACAAAAAATGTGGTTTGATAAATGATTCCTCACTGA